AGCTGGACAAGTTGGACTTAGATTAATTACCAAGGGCGATAGACAAACTACAGTCTCAAAGGAGTGGAGTGTAGGTGCGAGCAACATTGCTGATGGAAGGTGTGTTTTCTTTTACTTGTAGGGTTGCTTCTTGAACGCCATGTCAGTACTTATAGCTTGCTGCTGGTAACACCAAATCTCTCAAGTTTTTTATGAATATATCGGTGTGTTGGATTGCTCCTGTACTCTTATCTTGGCTAGGAGTTGAATTCTTATTTTCCTGATCCGAAGATAAATTACTTTGCAGGTGGCATATAGTTACATTGCCTGTAGATGCTGATTTAGGTGAAGTATCTTGGTATCTAGATGGTAATTTTGATGGCTATCAGACAGGGCTACCACTTTCACCGCCAGCCCCACCTTCACCCTAGTCCTCACAATCATCGTCAACCCCACCACCGCTTGCGGTCTCAGCAATGGATGAGAAGGAACGAGAGAGAAGAAGAAGAAAACAAGAAGAGAAGAAATATAGATCTAGACTCATCGCCGCCGCCGCCATCATCCCCACCATCGTCGCTGCCATCTTCATTCACCCATCGTCGCCGCCGTCCTCAGCCTTGTCATCGCCGCCATTGCCCTTACCCTCACCATCGCAGATCTAGACGGCATAGAAGAAGAAGAATACGGAGGTGAAGAAGAAGAAAGAGAAGAAACGAGAATGAGAAGAAAAACAAAGAAACGAAGACAAGAAGAAGAAGAAAGGGAAGAGAGAAGACGACAGACCAGTGGACGAAATTGGGGAGAAAGAAATGAAGAAAGAAGAAAGTGGCGGACGAAATTGGGAAAAAATCATTAATCATTAAACTACAGTGTGCCAAGTTACCTTTCCGTCTGGTGGTCAAGACATACACAACCATACCATTTTAAAAATAGAGAGGCTGCTCATGTTTGACCCTTCTTGCATTGCTGCATTTACTACTCAAAATTTCATAGAAGGTAGGATTAGGAAGTAAATGAAGTTTAATGTGCCTTTTTGAATTAAAGAAGAAAAATTATCTTATTCCAATTAAGTCTAATAAAATTACTCTTCTCTAATTGAAACATCATAAAACTACAATAGGCAGCACTGACCTGATTTTTTTTATTTTTCCAAAATGAGCAACCATGGAAAGTGGTATCCAGCAAGTTCACCACTATCACCTTGATACTTGCTATTAGGTTATGCCGTAATGGCCATTACTCATTACTTCATTAGCAGTAAGAGATAAACTGGGATTTGAGGACATGAATACTCAAACAGTCTAACTCTAAGAAAGGGCAGCCTGATGCACAATGCATCCTGCTGTGCGGGAGTTTGGGGAACGGGCCCCATCACAAGAGCAAACCAAAAGTTCATCACACTATGACCAAGATTCATGCTTATAGGGATTTCATACAGTTTCCAAATCAAAAGACAATATTACCAATGTTTGATGACTATATACATTAAGAAATACAACAATGAATAAAAATAAAAGATGTGTAAATATAAACATCTCCCTGAAGGATAAATATTTGTTTAGATATGTAATATCTAAGTTTGTAAGTTCTATATTCATTGGAGATTAGTGAGACGGCCAAATTGAGATTATTATTGTGCTAACAACATGTAAATGAAATCTTTATTCCTCTCTCATCTTATTTAAAGAGAACCTTATCCCCTTATTTATTTATTTATTTATTTATTTTAATTGCCTATGCAGTAGGATCTTTGCCCGAAAATGGCCTGAAATGCTTCAAGGTCCCCAGCTGGGAATTTTATGTAGTTTTATGTCTCTTACTGCTTGGCTGATTGTTATCTCACCAATTGTGGTGCTTATAATGTGGGGAAGCTGGCTTACTGTAATTTTGGGCCGGGACATAATTGGCTTAGCTGTGGTAATGGGTGGTACTGCTATTCTTTTAGCATTCTACTCAATCATGCTATGGTGGAGAACACAATGGCAAAGCTCAAGTATGTATGAGTGTGTGATATCTCTTTGCATTTTTGACACAATCACGATCCTTGTATGAATTTAATGTTGATATAATATGGATATCTTTTCTCTTTTGTTTCTAATGATTTTTGCTTGCTGATCACTGCATTCTTGTAATTCCAAATATATTACCTCGTCAAGCACAATCGTCTTTACTTATCCTTTCTGGATGTAATTTCCAGAATATTTCTATGTGATTATATTGCTCTGTACGAAATTGGGCTTTACAAAAAATCCCACATACACATGAGCATCTTGTAAGGCATAACATAATAGGAATATGACTTCAAATCTACATTTTCTAAATGCAGGATCAAAGTACTCTGTTAAAAAGTTCTATAGATACATAATGATGCCTATTCATCTTGAGTGTGGGTTATACTTAGACCCTTGAGTATTTCATTGCTTAATCATTAT